CTTTCGAACAAAACTTCTGCACATAAACAGCATGAAATAAATATTGACAGAAAATAAATAAAAAGGAAAAAGTAACCAGATTACATGTTACTGTTTTTTTTAGGATTCTGTTTCTTCTGTTTACAGTTATTTGTTGTTTTATAGTGTAGTATCATCAGCCTATTATCACTTTGACAAATATAAAGAGACAAATGGAAGTGTTTATTAATGTTTTAAGTAAAACAAATTGATGTTTTAAGTAAAACAAATACTTTCTGGTTCTTTACTCTCTCCCATTACAACACCAAAGTGTTTTCCAGAAGCTCATCTTCTCTTTGTTCTTCACTTTTGCATCCTTTGAGGCCTCCTTTCTCCTTTTCTCCTCAGGCTTCTTTTGCATTTTGAGCTCCTTGGCCTTTTTCTTTTGGATCTTCTTCCATTCTCGTCTTTCTTCCTTGCTCATGTTCTCGCTCGGGACTGGGCTTACGTGGTTTTGCAGCTCCTGCATCAGCCTGTGTTTCTGAATGACCACCAGAGGAACCACTGATAGGATCCTGTCCTCGTTCTCCTTAATCGCAGCTACCGGATCCCTCATCATCTCGCGTTCACGCTCCAGCTCCTCCATCTTCTGCTTTATAAAGGCCTTGTACTTGATGTTCGCCTCCAGATTTTTGGAGCGGAGCTCATCCGATATCTTCCAGATCTTCTCCACCTTCTTCTTTTCTGCTTCACACATCTTTCTCATCTCCTCAATCTCTTCATCTTTCATCAGGAGCTCACCCTGTGGCTGCTCATTCGCCTCTAAGAGCTGCTGGGTGCGTTTCTTCATCTGGGCTTCTAGATGTTCTTTCTCCAGTGCCTCAGCAGCTGTTTTCATCTTTTCTGCCCTCTCCACTCCTCCCTCTCTGTCCTTCAACCATTCAGCTTTCTCTCTGGATGCTTCTTCCATCTTTCTGGCTTGGTCCAACTGCCAGTCCTTTGTCTTGAGGTCAGCACTGAGTTTCTCCACGCGCAACACCAGGCAGGCCTCCTTCACCGTCCACTGTCCTCGTTCCACCTTTCTAATTCTTTCTGCCTGCTCTCTTTCTTTCTGTCTGTCCATCCTCTCAGTCACCAGCAGATGGTTCAGATGCTTTATGTGATCCTGAAGCCTCTTCCATGCCGCTTGGATTCTGTCTTCATCAAGACAAGAGATCTTGTAATCCAAGTACTCTATATCGGTTCTTATGTTCTCCATATTATCACCTTCCATTTTTATTTTCACGCTTCTAGTCGGGACACTGCAATGTAAAGATTGTAAGTTTGAAGAAATCCTCAGATAAAACGCTGAGACGCTGACCTTCCACTGCGATGTGAAGTTCAGAAGTGAAGAATTGAGCTTCTGCAGGCTTATTTATAGATTTTCACGAGTGACGCCAATCATTCTGCAGCAACATTCTAATGCTTGCAGTTTCCTATCTCTTGTATTTTGGTGACGTCACAATCGCGCTGCCACCAATTTGGTCATCAACTTCAAGTTAACTTAGCGATGCTGTGGCGGTTTGTAACGAGATAACAAAGCCATAACTGATCCAACAAACGCAAACACATTTTTGAAACACTTTTTAAATGTGTGAAGCACATTAAGCAGATTATTTGAGTGAACTGACTTCATTTCATTCTATTTGTGGTTGTACTGATGACAAACGAAAGCTAAAATCTGAGCTGACATTTCCAGCTGCGATATTATTTTCGTGTTCCAGACCGCACACTAGCACACTAAATAATCTACAAAAATAGCGCATATACCATTAGAAGTGCACTCATTAGTGTAGTAAGTGAAGTGCAGAGGTGTGTGGTTTAGGACGCGTTAGATCAGCCAGTGAGACGTGATCAGCAACTCTAACGGCTGATTATAGCGTTGCTGTGCTGCACATTAACTGCTCAGTAATCATCTCCAAGCAAATGTTTGAGGTAATTTGTTGATCAATTTTTTTTTATTGACGTAAACTGATGCATGTATTGAGTTAAATTAGGCATTAACTGAGCTGAGCTGGTGCTGGCTTCGTATTAGTCAACTTTCGAAATTCGTTCTACATTTAAGGCACCTCAGTGTAACTGCAGCACCATTTAAGGTGGAACTGAAAATTCAAATGAGAAGCTGGCGAGTAAGAAACTGACTTGAGCTTGATATATATGCATGAGTTTATTACTTTTTGGGCTTTGGTAGCTTTGGTAGCCACTTTTATTAGTTTTTATAAAATATAACACACTGGAATGTTCTGAGCTCTGGAGAAATGCAGGTTATACGGATCCAGTCCACCAATTTAGCTAATTTTCACCAAACGCGTTTTGAAGTCTTCCGATGTTTCCAGAAGCGGACCTAAACGCTTTTCCTGCACAGTTAAACATTGGTCGCTCACCCAGCGCAAGCGCACTCGGGCCGCCTCAATACAGGTGCTCTCAGGGGCCTCAATAGGGGTACTGATTGTCAGTTAACATAGTTTTCATGCTGTTACAACGGGCGGCAAGCTAAGTTTCCTCACAAACTTCACTTTCTAGTTACTGTTATTGTTTTTGTTGTTTTCTATTTTTAATATATAAATTTAGATTTTTGAAGTGGTCTTAAAATCAAAATATGAAAACCTATTAAAATAATAATGACAAAAATGATCATACACTATATTGCCAAAAGTATTCACTTACCCATCCAAATCATTGCATTCAGGTGTTCCAATCACTCCCATGGCCACAGGTGTATAAAACCAAGCACCTAGGCATGCAGACTGCTTCTACAATCATTTGTGAAAGAACGGGTCGCTCTCAGGAGCTCAGTGAATTCCAGCGTGGTACTGTGATAGGAGGCCACCTGTGCAACAAGTGCAGTCGTGAAGTTTCCTTGCTACTAAATATTCCACAGTCAACTGTCAGTGGTATTATAACAAAATGGAAGTGATTGGGAACGACAGCAACTCAGCCACGAAGTGGTAGGCCACGTAAAATGACAGAGCGGGGTCAGCGGATGCTGAGGCAGTGGAAACCTGTTCTCTGGAGTGACAAATCACGCTTCTCCGTCTGGCAATCTGTTGGACGAGTCTGGGTTTGGTGGTTGCCAGGACAATGGTACTTGTCTGACTGCATTGTGCCAAGTGTAAAGTTTGGTGGAGGGGGGATTATGGTGTGGGGCTGTTTTTCAGGAGTTGGGCTCGGCCCCTTAGTTCCAGTGAAAGGAACTCTTAATGCTTCAGCAGACCAAGAGATTTTGGCCAATTTCATGCTCCAAACTTTGTAGGAACAGTTTGGGGATGGCCCCTTCCTGTTCCAACATGACTGTGCACCAGTGCACAAAGCAAGGTCCACAAAGACATGGATGAGCGAGTTTGGTCTGGAAGAACTTGACTGGCCTGCACAGAGTCCTGACCTCAACCCGATAGAACACCTTTGGGATGAATTAGAGATTATTAGAGATTATTAGAGATTATGGTCAAAAATTCCCATAAACACACTCCTAAACCTTGTGGAAAACCTTCCCAGAAGAGTTGAAGCTGTTATAGCTGCAAAGGGTGGGCCGACATCATACTAAACCCTATGGATTAAGAATGGGATGTCATTCAAGTTCATATGCATGTGAAGGCAGACGAGCGAATACTTTTGGCAATATAGTGTATTTATAAGACAGAATGTTTAAGACATTATGTTGATTCAGTTAAAATTTCGCGATGATTTATTAGTATTTTGCTAACAACCATTTAACATTAAAAGGTTTTTTCCAACGTTTTTTCAACGTTGAAACAACAACTGACATTATTTCAACCACATTTCAACCAAGGTCAGTCATGTACCAGCTGGGTTTGAGAAAATCTCAGAGAGTAGATTGGACAGATAGAGGGAGAGAAAGAGAGAGAAGGGGAAACAGAGAGAGAGAGACAGAGAGAGACAGCGACAGATACAGAGAGAAAGAGAGAGAGAGAGACAGAGAGAGCAAGAGAGAGAGAGAGAGAGAGAGAGAGATTTGTGTCACAATGTAGAGTCAGTTGATGTTGGTGAAATGCTTATTAATGGACCAAAGAAAAAACAAACCATAAATAGAGGCGAGCTTTCCTCTCAACTGGGATTGCCATCGACCCCCCCCCCGCCCCCGCCCCGGTCATTTAAATAAAGACGTATACTACATTACAGTAAAATACATACACACACTAACGATACATTAAAGCCATAAGTAACGTCATTCAGTGAACACAACGCCACGTATTTCGGAGGGGGTTTTAATCGTTGATGACGTAACCCACAGGGCAGGGTATGAAACTGTCAGCCTGCGGGGTTTTCGAGGAGAGCTGCTGCTGCACCTCACGCGCAGGAGACGCTGGAGCTCGCAGGAGTCTGAGCGCGCGCAGAGCGCAGAGCCCTGTCACAGCACACACACACACACACGCACGCACACACACACACACACACATACACACGGCTCTCTCCGTCGGTGCGCTGAGCCGGTTTATGGATCTGATAAAGTCAAGCGCGGCTTCAGCGCTCGAGAGGAGTGCGTGCTGCGTTTCTCCGAGACAGTCAGACCGAGCGGGCGAGTAAACACGGCCGCGTCCTCATCTTCACCCTGATAACGGAGCGGAGCTGCTCTCTCTCTCTCTCTCTCTCTCTCTCTCTCTCTCTCTCTCCTGGCTGGACTACGCGCAGCTGTAACTTTTTATCCTCTGTCTGATGTGCGCCGCAGTCAGAGCTGATGGAACAGGTACCGCCACAGAGGCTCGTGTGAATATGATACAGCGACTCGTTCTCGCTCTTGCCCGATGTAGGACTCTGGTCTCTCCGCCGCAGCGCTTGTAACTTTGTGCGTAAAGCGATCACCGCATTAAACATTCAGCAGCTGCTCGGAACGTTTGAGAGACGGTAAAGTTTTCGAGCACAGGTTGTGTTCGTCCTGTCCAGTAGGTCCTGGACGTAAGTGGATTTGTGTCCTCTCTGTCCTTTTTCTTTTCCTCGTTTTTTTCGCGGGTCTGGAGTGATGGACGCTGAGTGAGCGAGTGGACATGCAGCCTGTCCGGGTGGCGTGGGCGCTCGCGGCAGCAGCTGCTGCCCTTTCCCTTCTGGCGTTGTTTCAGGCACGTTTTCTACGAGAAGGTAAAGTCTGTGTGTGAACCTGTGTCTGTTTACAGTCTGTGTTGAGCACACAGGGTACTGAGCGTGGCTCAGCAATATATACCATTTTCATTAACCTTTAATTAGTGAATAAATCAGGCTCAGACTGGACACTTTTCCTCGTATAACCTGAATTTGAATCCTACAACAAAATCCCTATTGCTGATTTTATACTCATGCACTCTCAGAAATAAAGGTATGAAACTGTCACTGGGACAGTACCCCTCTTGTCACTGGGGTGGTACCCTCAAGGGTGCATCTCAGTACCTTTATACAGGGAACATAATTGTAACATAATCCATTGAAATTATATTTTCTAAGTTGTATTGGCTCCACACACCCCGTCTCATCTCCAGGCTTTTTTTTATTGCTCTGTTTTAAAACATTAGCTTATGAAAATGTACAGATATGTGCTTTTCATCTGGGAAAAAACATATTCAAGGTACACAATCTTAAAACCACTGTTGTACCTTTGAGGGAACATTTACATTGTTTGTACCTTGATGAATGAAAAATGTACCTGCATAGCACCTTTTTTTTCCAACAGTGTAGTGTAGAATTCATTTGTGCCCAGTTTGACTTCAGTATAAAAACTGCCAACACTGAGCATTCTGCTGCCTGGCTGTTTTCCTCTGGGGTCGCTAAATTGTACTGAAATTGCATTGAACGTAGTGCTGCAATATAAATAATCTCTGTTAATAATTTAATGTTACTCAGCTGTCGTAGCAGAACACTGCACTTAGTGTAAGGCTTGTGAAAGAAAGGAGGGACAAGCAGCAACATTGCTGTGGGTCTTTGTGGCAGGGAGGTCTAGTTGAAGGGTAAAGGTCAACAGGTTTGAATACATATTGCTTGTCTTATGTAAGTCTGTGTTTGCTTTGCTGTTTGTGTACACCCTGACAATACAATGTCTAAAAGACTGCCTTAAATCCTCCCTCTGACAGCAGTGTGTAAGAGTCATTTGTACAGCACACATATATTAATACAAGTTCTATATCAGAGATTTCCCTGATAAGATTGTTTGAAGGACTATTGAACATGAGAAGCTTGAGTGAGCTTGTAATTATCACAAATAAAAGTGCAGCAGTGCGAAGACAGAATGATTGCAGGTAATCGATACATGTTACACTGACCATTACACATGTGCTCCCCTGTAGAATGGTAGAATAAGAACGTAAGGTATTTTATAAGATCATAGACTTTAGATATGTTCAGCTCAAAAGCGTTGACTCAAAGTTTTCATCTAACAGCAGGAAAATTCTCCTCTGTTCCATTGTGGGTTAATCTTCTATTTGTAGGGCTTTCACTAATTTTCATTCCATCCAGTCTCATGAAAACTGCGTGGCAGAAACGGCTGACCCCGAATCGCCCCTATCATCATAATGACCGCTCTGTAAACTGTAATGGCCTCAAGATTTAATCAGAAAAAGCCTTTTGCATATTGCATATAACGGGGATCAGGTGGGCTATGGAACAGTCACTGAAGGTAATTGCCCGAGAGGCATAAGTAAGCTTGCAGGTCTGCGCTGGCTTACTTCCATGGTTAAAAAAAAAAAACAACAACACACGTTGGCTTGGTTGCCACAGTAACAGGGCTTTTATTGAAGATAATTGGAGAATGCATGGCTTTGCTTTTCATAAAGTCAGAGGACACAAACGGAGAGCTCTGGCAGACTGATATTTGGTATCTGCCAAAACACTTTTCATTTTGCTCATGCTGGGTGATGCTGGGTGGGGAAGCTGGCGGGCTTGTTTGGCTCACATTTTTTTTAAGTCCTGTCTTTTTTGTGAAGTCATTTTAGCTCATTAAAGATGTTTCATTTGTTCAGTAAATTATTTTCGATTGTAACTGATTGACTGCCTTTTTAGTCACATGTAGGGGTGTCACTAGATGCTCATGGAAGGGGGGCTAAGTCTGTTATAGGGCATCTGGGGGCATGGTCCTCCTGAAGAATTTTTAAAGGCCCCATAATGTCTGTTTAACATGAACTTTTAGAGTAGCAACAGCCAGAACATTTATGAAAAATGGCTTTTTGGTCATGTTAACACACAGCAGATGTGTCTCCTTGTAGTTTGTATTAAGCACAAAGCTAATATGACGTAAACACTATATCAATTTGCTTACAACAGGCATAGATCAAGCAAAGGTACTGAAGTCAAGCAATGCTATCTCCTCTGTCGTAGATAAGCTGCACAGTCTTAAAAATATTATTCAAACACACAGATAGATATAGATCAGTTCTGTCTCAGCAGTTGGTGCCATCAGGAAGAGTGTGGTTTGCTCTGTAGGCATGTTTAATAAACTAGGTGACAGAAGTGCATGCTCATAGTGATAAATATTATATTTTCTCAGTTAAGTTCAGTTAAATTCAGTATTAATTTTAACTGAAAGCTTGAACAACTCTCCCTTGCTTCCTTCTTGATCACTAACCTCCATCAGATCAACTCCTTCAGTCCTGTCAGTCTCCTTCAGCTTCTTTCTCTCCCTCTCCTTGTCTGTGTTAGTGATACATTACTTTAAAACTAAGATTTAAAAGAATTCAAGGAAATAATGAGATATAAATAAATTTTGCTTATTTAAGTGGTAAACATCTTTAAACTGAGTTTAACTTACTGTACTACTGGTATCATTGTTTGTGAATACTGAGAAGAAATATAAAAACAAAGAATATAACAAGCTCTCAATAACGTTATTTTCATCTCCGTTGCTGGTTTTCTTTAAATTCTTGAACAAGTTTGCTTGACAGCTAGCTATCTAATGTTAGTGTTAGCCTAAACCCTTTTACCTAATGTGAACTCAAAGTTAGCTAACTAAGAAGCAACCGAGGAAAACCCAAAAGCCAGCTATACTGACCATAATTTACCACAAATCTGTGTTGTAGGTGGGTATCTTCACTTTGTAACTACTTATTGTTTCATTCTGTATATTATAGATTTTGAATAAGGTGCATTTAGTGAAGTCTTAGCCAAAATCCTGTCTTCACCTTCAGCAGGCTTATGTTTCTTTGAAGAGACCCTTCCCCAGGTCTGACATGATTGGCTCACAGCTTACAAGATCTGATATGATTGACTCACAGCTTACAAGGTCTGATATGACTGGCTCACAATTTACGAGGTCTGATATGATTGGCCAAGCCGGGGTTCCACTTTTCACGTTATGTTATTAAATCTCTGGTAGCACAACAGAGGAAGTGCCTCCCTCAATTTGTGCCCTGCCATCACAGTACATTGTGAATGTGGAGACGCGATGACAGGTTTGAATAATGAATAGTGAGAATAAACTACAGATGATTTAAACTAGCAATGTACATTTATTTGGAAGGGTGGGTTATATAACATTTCTTATAATATAACACTAAAGCATTGTCACATATGATGATAAACTGGTATGGTGGGACAATAGATGTCACTTTTGTTGACAGTACTGATTTACCTAAACTGGCCTTAGATACGTTGGATTTTTGCATGTATACTGTATGTATATATTTTGGTGTCTTGTCACAATAGCTGTAAAAACTATTATAGTCTATAAATATTTTATAGTTGATTTAAATCTATGTTTAAGTCTAAATCTGATCCTTACACTTAGAAATCATTCTGGTAACACTTAATGTGAATGATATCTACATAGCAAAATTATAAAACAAATAGAAGGATTTAGTGGTGTATTTAAAAAGCAATACTTGAGTGTTTCTGAACAGATGACATCAAAATGAAAAGTAAATGTCATTGGTCCATATTTATCAGGCATTTCCAAGCAAGCACAATAATCTAAGATCAGGTTTCATCAGTTCATGTAAGTTTATTCAGTGTTGTATAACAGCTGTAATCTGAGCCGCACAGCAACATTCTTGCTTTGACAAGTTCAATAATTATGGGCCATTGTACAGACATATTGGACAAATATGTGCGAAAAGAATTGACCCCACCCTTTCTGTAATGGTTGGTAATGTGGTTGAGGATGTGCCTGGAGCTGCGTTTATTTTCATGTATTCTTTACTGTTGTGCTTGTTAAAAAATAAGCTTGTGTCATCATATTTGTTGGCTTTTGTTTTTACCAATTCTTCAGGTTTCCACCTTACATGATTAATGAATGTTTTAAATGAAAGTGTTAAAATGAAAAAACAAACAAACATGTGTTCAGGTTTTAATTTGAGGACATCAAAATCATTCACAGAACTAATATGGCTGATTGTTAAATAGGTGCATGTCTTATAACCTCAACATTTCTTGGCAATCATGCTTCATAACAGTGTAATAAATGTGCACCACTTTAGTATAAGGGCATCAAATTCCTTAATGAAACTGATAAACATACTTCTTAACAGGTAGACATTGCAAGAAATAACATAAACATGTAATTTTTAAAACATTTATATTGTAGAAAATTATAAAAAACACACTTTACATGTGTGTTCCTGTTTGTCTTCTGTCATGATATAACTATAACTAACTGGAGTCATCAGTCATATGGCAAGAAAAGCTTCATTACATTAAACAGTCTACCAATGACACGGCAGAGGGGTCCTTTCATTCATATTGTCACTTATGTCAGTATAATGTCCTCTTGTGAACACTTACATAAACTGCTCATAAATACTCAAAGCTGTAAATATAATATGCTCAGTGCTTAAGGTTTAAATGTTTAAATACATTTATCGCTAATGCATCTGTCATGAAATATCTGTATAGCCTTTAAATAAAGTATTACAATAGACTATAAATCTGAAGCACTGGCCCCAGTTATTACAGCTAAGTGACTGTGATTTCACTTTTTAATGCCCTCAGCCTCTATCAGTACGGTCCACTATAAGGAATCATGGCAACTGCCAGCTTTTACTACAGTAACAACAACAAAAATGCTGTCAAATAATGTAGATATCCTGGATATAGCCATGTATTTAAACAGTAATAAACATAAGATAATTTGCTATTAAGCAAATTAGGCAAAGTCTAATTTTCAAATAAAATTACAGCTTTGA